GAGGCCTTTTGCTCGGGTTTGTTTGCACAGGGCTTTCTTCCCAGTGTCTTCACATGCTCTTTTTCTTATGTGTCTCTGCTCACCTCCTCCTCTTATTTCTTACTTCATTCCCACTGGAGTAGGGCCCAGTGATATAATCTCATGTTACCTTGATTAGAGCTTTAAAGCTCCCATCTTTAAATACAGTCACATTCCAAGATACTGGAGGTTAGGGCTTTAACATATGACTTCTGGGGGGGAACACAATTCAGTCCAACTCTCCCGTTGGTATATACTGCACCTCCCAATTAAACTATCTCCACCCAAATCCCTACACAAGGTCAGCTTCTGGGGGGAATGTGAATTAAGGAAATGCTAAAAAATAAGGTCTCTTGAAATAAACAACCAGATCACTCCATATGCTTTTTCTAGCTACACTTCAGGGTGCCTACGTATTCTGCCCTGTTTTGTTTGTTTTCTACATATGCTCATCTCCCCTCAGTGACAAAGGGGACTGTGCTTCACTGATCTTATCCCTATCCTAGCAGTGCCTCTGACGGCCAGGCACCCAATGCTGCTTGATTTGCCTAAGTCAACAAGTTAGTACTAATCTGCCTTGGAAACAAAGTTACAATAGAATATAAAAAAAAAAATCTAAACTAATAAAAGTAGCTGCTGTCCCTTCCCCTGATAGGGAAATGGGAGGGGTCAGGACAGGGGAGGCCATCCACAAGGGACTGTGCTGATGGGACCCCCTCCACTTCGGTGGGAGAACTACTGGACGGCTCCTGAGGGGAGAAAGCAAACACTGTCCAAAACAAAGCAATCCTATAAAGAAAATAAATGAATTGATTTTTAAAAAGTCATTGCTGTTAAATAATATAAAATCCTGCTAATTCATAAACACAAATTTGGAATATTTCATCCTGAGTAAGGCACGGGTGTTTACTAATTTAATTGAGGTTTGAGTACTTTAAATTAGAGGTATGTCTATATAATATAATCAATTGACATTTTGGGTAGAGACTAATTTGTGTCAAATATTTTCAAGCAGCTAGTGACACCTGCTGGCGAGGACTGGCTATTGCTCTGAAGACAATTTCTCAGCTCTTGAATTTGGAGGGTTAGGGTACAGTTTGAAGTATTAGTAAACGACAAAAACTTAGCACACTAGAAAAATATTTATATGATATAAATTATGTTTCTTGTGAAAAGAAACTATCACAAATGTATCTTCACATTTACATTAACATATCACACATATGTTACATATAAATAAGCCTCAAAAAAAGTAAAATCAGAAAGTCCTGCCTAAGGAAAAAAAGTTCAATGACGGCACCAGAAATGGGAGGAGTAATAATAATCATAATAACATTTCAACATTTATCAAGTTCACATAATCCAACTATTTTAAATAAAAGTAATAAATCAAAAACACTTGCCTGCAAATAGCACTATCCATCTTTGCGGTTAACCATACCCAGAAGCTTCTAATTGACAGCATAGGATTTCAGGGTCTCCTGGTCTTCTGTGTTCTCAGCTGCCTTTTCATTTCCTCCCACAGTAAGTACTGGGCTGTTATTCAGTTTTATATTAGTTACAATAAACGTCACCAGAGGAAAGCACAGACATGCACGTTGGCTATTACCCCTTCTCTCTTATACAAAAGTTATTATTTTACATATTGTCTTTTACACTTAGATTTTTTTACTTAAAAAAACATCCTGAAGACTACCCTAAACTAGTTCATAGCAACCTCTTTTCCCCTCCCCCCCAATTTTATTGTGGTGTATTTGACAAATAAAATTATAATATAATTAGATATACAAAGTGATGATTTGATACATGTACACTTTGTGAAAGGGTTCCCACAACCGAGTTAATTAACACTCCATGATCAACACAATGTTTATGTTCCACTAGCTCAGGAAATTGTAAATTGAAATTGCATTATCAACTAGAGTTACTATGCTGTACATTATATCCCAGATTTACTCATCAATAACTGGAAATGCAAATGCTCATAGCAGCCCTGATATCTGGAGTTTTGTGGTGATAGTTTGTCCTGGTTATGTTGCCCCTATTTTCTGTGGGTTTTGGTAATGGAGTAAGTCCCTAACACTAGCCATAGATTCTTAGAAACTGTGATTTAAAAAACAAAACAAAACTAGATAGTACAACAAAACCAGGTCCTCAAATAATGATTTATTCAATGTCAAGCAGCACATTTTTTTTTTTTTTTTTGCTCATCATTATAACAAAATGAGGCTGAATGAAATGACATAATGCAAAGGCATGTGCCATCCTGGTGGAGGAGTATGGGACAATCCACGCAGATTATAAACCACATGTGTTCTACTGTCACTATCTTTCTAGTATTCATGACTGAATATCTTGAGAAGCTCAATGACTCTCCTGAGCTGCCAGGGTTGAGATCCATGATGTAGTTGCTCTGGTTACTCCTTTTTAGACCTTTTGTTCCTCAGGATTTACCTCCATCTCATGTTTTCACTGCCTCCCATAATCTTGGTGTTCCTTGGAAGTTTTTCACTCGTGGCTTCAATTTCTTTCTCTTTTTTTTTTAAAGATTTGTTTATGTATGCCTACAACAACTGGGGTACAAGCCAGAGGTGCAGGAATTGAGAGGATTCACCAGAGACAGAGTGGGGAGCAGAACAGGCAGATGGACTGAAATATACTGCTAAGGGGAGCAGCAGGTAAGACAGGAGAGGTCTGCTGTGCCATGTGGGTCAGCTCCCTCGCTGGGGGTTGAACTCATGCTGCAGTGGCTGCAGATAGCTTCATGGTGCTGCTGCTTAGCC